AAGGGAGCTGAAAGATACTTCATCCCTGAAAACGAGGCTCCGGAGAACTGTGAAACACACACCCTGAGGAACGTGGCCCGTGTCCGGTGGGCCAGTCACGCAGCCAACCCAGCCTCCTGCGTCCATCTGAGCGGATGGTTATGCTGTGCTCCAGCATGGTACAAAGTGAGAAGTGTCAGATAAATATCATTTCCACTCCCCAGAGACCTCTTCTGAAGTTGATCTCTTAGAAAATGACAAGCACCTTCCAGAGCAAAGGACAAGGGGCTTTCTGTTCTACATTAATTACTGTATTTCACTGTTTAAAAGAGAATTATGTAAATAAATGCTATTCTCTTTAATTGACATAAAAGTCAAAGCTAAAATTAAAGCATAATATCAATTCTTTTAATATAAGTGGCTAATGCATTTATAACTTTCTCTTTAGTTTGGTTGCTTTTGTTTGAATAATTTCAAATATATACATAAATTTAAGAAGCAAAGATGGGCTATAGGTTTAAAGATCTAGACAGTCATTTTTATGCATCTATCTTTTAAATAAATTCTTAGATATTCATTCATTTTTTTCATTGTACACCTAATTATATAATGAATATAAGAAGTGACTTCATTATGTATATGTTTTGAAGTTATACTTGAAATAGTAATATCACTTTACAAAATTCTCTAAATTGTAAAAATAAGTCTTTATCAATAACATACAACAGTATATATTCTACATTCATTTTGCAGTGATCAAGAATCATTTTACTAATTAATGTTAATGTATTGCATTTGCAAGAATGATAAAAATGTGAAAAAATCTCAAACATAGCGTTCAATTTAAACAATGCAAGAGGTGCTGCTTAGTGTTGTTCTACTTTTCTCTTTTTCACAATCTATGGTCCAGCTCTTTAAGAAATGTTGTACGAAGTGACACTGAAATGGTTTCCTCTTGCTGTTTCCTTTCTCTCTTCGCTCCTTGCATCTTTTCCTGTCTTTTTGCCCAGCAGTCTCCTCCCTCCCTCCCTGCTCCGTCTCTCTGTCTCTCTCTGTCTCTCTCCCCTCCCATCTCTCTCTCCCTCTCTCCCCCACTCCCTCCTGTCTTCCCCCCTTGCACTCTCTCTTCCCTCCCTGGTGGCCTCCCCTGTCCCCTGAAGCCTGCTGTCCTTGCTCAGCCCCACCTGCGTGTCTCCCATGGTTTCCACCCCCGACTGGCTCAAAGGCCAGCAGCCCCCTTTCGCTCCTCTGCCCTAACCTACATCTTGTGGCCTCTCGTGGAAATCCCTTCCCCTCACACACCAGGCTCCCCACTGGTACATGTGGATGGGAGCCACCTCCTGAGAGAGGCGGTGCACTGACAGCCCCACCCACTCACGAGGCCCGGGGCTGCCTTGGCTCAGCACTCTTTCCCACTTGGGGAGCCCATTGCACTGAGTGTGTGATTTCAACTGAGAACAGAGTCACTTGCTTCAAACCCAGAGCTCAGAGCTCCTCCACCACAGCGAGATGGAGAAGTGTGTGCTCACACAGGCCTGGAGGCAAATTCAATAAGAATGTTTATAGAAGCCCAAGAACTGAATCCCTGAAGCAGCCTGTGTGTCCATCAGCAAATCAATGAAGTTTAAGAATGGGGCAAATACTTATAGTGGAATATTACTCTGCCACAAAGAAGGATAGAGGAGTCATTTATGGGAAAAAAGATGCCCTGTGAAAACCTGATGTTAAGTGAAATCAGTCAGACCCTTGGGCTCAAATATGATGTGGTTTCCCTTACATGAGCAACAAAGAGCAAATCGCACGTAGATAATAGGTAGCAGGGATGGAGGGAAAGTGGACGGAGAGTGAGACGGAGGGGAGAGGATGGAATACAAACAATTGAAGGAAAATGTGGAAATAGAGCTTTTTCAAATGGGGGGGGGACCAGGAGTTGGAAGGGGCAGGGCGGGTGAGGATGGGGGGAAATAGCTGTCATGTGTCATCTGTGCGACCAGCACCCATGACACATGCGACCATCATGCTCGGCAAAGACATTCCGGTAAAAATTTCAAAGTAAAATAGAAGGTTTAAAAACATGATTACTACGCACACATTGTTAGGTATAAAATCCAGAATAAATAGCTTCTAGTGCAATCGATCTTTAGGTGGGGAACAGGTCCCAGTTAGGTGGATTCCTGTGATAGTCGGTCTGCACTGTAAAATTCTGGGTGCCCAGCAGTTTCTCACAGGTGTGACGAAGCTGCTCTCATGACCTAAGCCAGGTGTGAGCTAGATGACAAGTGCTGATGACAGAGGGGAGATTTTGCTCTAGGACAAGCACTGAGGGTGCACTTTTCCACAGCTAACCTGAAAAGGTATTTTTAGCACTCATATAACTTCGCTGCTCTACAGCAATCTAAAATGCTGAAAACCTCATGAGTAATTTAAAAACCCACTAGAGCAACTTTTAAACCTTTAAATTAAAAACCTCTGGAGCTAGAGCCATTTGAAAATGCCATCCTCTTGGGATGTGGAAATCCCTAAAATGAGACGCCTTTCTCAAGGAGGCACCAGGGGCGGGGCTGTGAAAGAGGAGGACAGGCGAGAGGCCACGGCTTCTCCAGGGCAGCTGGGCATGGGCCAGTGGGGCAGGCTGGCCACAGGGGCTTTGACCTCCCTCTGAGCCCACCCGTGTCTGAGATGCCGGCGTCCTGAAGCACGCGGGCACCACTTCCCCGGCCCTGCGTGCACAGCAACACGGAGAAGGCTGGCTGCACCTGGGCACAGTGGGAAACGTGCTCCTGACCAGAATGGCACTGGCAGGGGCACCCAGCCCAACACACCCAAACCCGGTCCTGGGAAAGCTGGCTGGGAAAGACCAAGGACTGGGCCCTGATGGCTGGGGAGCCAGGTGCGGGGGACGCAGCTGTCAGCACATGGGGCAGGGGCAAGAGTGGGAGGGTGTCATGCCTCAGGTCTGGGTGTGCCCCCAAACCTCGGTGCACACAGGTGGGGCCCTGGGGAGTGGCTGGACCATGGGGCTGTGCCGCTGGACCCCAGGAATGTCACACTGGTCTTCCACATGTCTCCAGTGGCTGCAGAGGCATGTGAGGTGGTGTCGGTGAACAGGGGTGAGCGGCCTCTCCGTGACTGGGACCCCTCTCAGGGCGGGCACCCTGCCGAGCTCCGCCTGGCCTCTGTGCACCCTGCCCCCTTGGTCCCCACCTGGACAGTGTGTCCAGGCAGCCCACAGAGCCCTGTGGCTAACTCACCCCAAGCACAGGGTTGTCTGAGCATAGGAGATGAACGGCTGGTGCAGAGTTTGAGCAGGACAGGGTACACAGGCTTTGAACTTATACTTGCCTTTACTTTGTGGATATTTATTGTGTGAAAACTTGAAGTTAGAGGTTTGCGGACTGGTGATATATATTTTAAAGTAGATGTCCAAATGTGTCAATGGAGTTAATGACTGGAAACTCTCGGCACTGCAGGGTTCATCAAAAGTCCTTATGTCACTCGATGCTGACATTAGTAAGGTTAATGTTCAAAATGCTCTGTAAAGATCTATACTTCAAACTCTGGCCTGAAAAGAGTGAGGAAATGGCTTCCTCTTAATATTCAGAGGCTGGCACTGTCATGGTGGTATCAGCCTCAGAAAACGACCACTTGGAAAAGAAAGTGACAGGTGGAAAAGCAGTGATGTGTTTGGCTGCGCGAAACGAAATGCATGTTGTAATTGTTAAAAGAAACATATTTCCAAGGAAGGCCTTGTGTTCTTGAACGAGGTTAGTGTGACAGAGAAACAGGATCGTCTCCCTCCTTCAGAGAGTCACACTGAGGAGGAACAAAGTGGGATGCAGCTAATGATGCTGATGGTGCGGACCCCACACGAGTACTCAGTAACCACACACAATTATTATAGACTAATTATGTTACTAGCATCTCTTTCCATGGAAAGTAAACATGAAACCAGAAACTACGGGGTAACTTTCTGAGGCAGAAGAGCATTTATCAGTTCTAACACTGCCAAAAATATCAATGAATATATTAGCACTATCATAAATAAGGTTTATGTCTCCTATCTGCAGAGGTATGCAGAATGTATCAAAGCAGCGGGTTTTTCCAGACATGCCTTAATAAATAACGCCCACAGTACTGGCCGAGGTGGTTGGAACACTGCCCATTCACAGGAAGCACTTGCATATCGAGCCTGCAATAAGCAGGGGGTTTAACCAGGCCTGTGGTTTGTTACAGGTTCAGAATATTTAGTATCAGCTGGAAAGCTGGCCTTTCCAAGGGTGCATGCATTATATCCAAGCGAACTGTTTATTTCAATTCAAAAAATCACTTATTAAACTTATCCGTGTAGTTGCTTATTTGTAACTGCTTATTAAAGGAGATGAATACCAGCAGTTAGCATTTTTAGTGCCTGAAAACTTGTCCTAAAATAAACTCCTCTCTTTGGAAATTCACGCTTCACTTTTACAAGGTCTACCTGAGTAATCAAACGCCCCAGGAGATTTGTGAGGTTGCCCTCTGCCACCCCATTAATCAGACTGCTAACTTGCCTCACAGCCATTTTCAAAGGTTAGAGTCTCCTCTGTGATGCTTTCTTCCAATTAAAATGAGTAACACACCGCAGCCCTGAATGACTCCTCTCTGTTAGTTCTCATCTCAGCAGCCTGTGAGACTAGAAATGTAAGAGGTTTGTGATGGTCCTACTTGAAAATTAAGACATTTTCTATGGTTTCGGACACTAATATGAATATTTGCTAACACTCATAATAGAGAAGTTGGAATTATTACAAACGGTTGGTCTAGCAACTGAGACAACAGATAATTATTCCAGAAACTGAAGTCCACATTGCCGATTAAATCATCGTTTTAAGGTGTTTTCCAGCCTCAATCTGGTAAGGCTCAGTTTGACACAAGTCTAACCTGTTACTTTGGACCAGCGACGTGTACTATCTAGTAGGAGCAAGGACCCTGTCTTTGGGCGACGACTTTGGGGAGCAGGGGAATTGCAGACGCAGTGTGCTTACTCTTGTACTCCAGGTGGAAGCCGGCGGCAGCCACGCTGATGTCGGACTGAAAGCGCAGGTACAGCTGATTGGAGGTGCTGTTCAGCAAGGCAGGCACCGTGGTCCCTGCAAGAGAGAGCACAGGAGGGAGCAGCAAAGTCAGGAGGGGCTCGCTCAGGTCACAAATCCCTGCAATAGGCTGACGGTTCGCGTTTAACCTGAGCTCTGGCTGCACCGTTCAGGTGTGGTTCTGCTTCTCTTGGACAGCACAGCTCTGCGTCTTCCTGGGCCTCAGTCTACCACCCAGGCTGTCCTTTGCCAGGACTTTGGGGTTCTCAGTGCCTTTAAACAACATAAACTGTGTTCTGAATTGCTGCATTCAGTGTGAACAAAGGTGGTGGAGAGAAATCGAGGCCCGCCGGGACCCCACCACCAGCCCTAGAGGAAGCAGGTGGATAGGGGCTCCCAGCTTCCTGCCCATCACTTTGCCTCCCAGGTCTTGGGCAACCCAAGGCTAGAGCAGGTCCAGCACACGTATGGGCACCCACAGTGCTGACCCCAGCTTCCTCCTGGCAGCCGGTGGAAAGAGCTCCAGGGGAACAAGATGAATTATTGCCCCAAAGGCAATCGAGTGTCTGTTGGTTACAAGCCGAGGCCACATTAAGGACTTCTGAGTTCAATTAGCACATAGAATCTTTTATTATTTATTTATGATATTGGAGATTGATTCCTTCATCCCTAGCCACCTCCCCTTTTTTGAGACAGAGTCTCCTTAAGTTGTTAAGTTGCCCAGGTGGGACTTAAACTTGTGATCCTCCTGCCTCAGCCTCCCAGAGAGCTGGGAGGACAGGCGTGTGCCACCACACCTGGCTTGGCACAGAGAATATCTCATGGGATGTACAGGAGTTCACCTGTGCTCCTTACCTAGCAGGGTTGGCATCTTTGGCCAGTTGGTACCCACACTCACTGGAATGTGCTAGCAGAACAGCGAGGAAAAGGGGAGAGGAGACAGCACTGTGGACAGTGCCTGTGCTGCAACTCATTTCCGCCCCTGGGATGTGGAGCTGGTTCCAGAGCTGTGGATTCTGCAGGCCCAAATGCTCTCAGGTGCAGCAGCCCTAGAAGAGCACCGTGAGCGCCAGTGAAGGAGAAAGAGAGGGAGCTGCCGATTCCACCCCTCTGCTGATGGACCGCGGTTCAACACAGGGACAGGTGACAGATACAGACAGAGAGGGAGGGAGGCTGGGGCAGTCAGAGGACAGGCAGCTGACAGGTGTGCAGAAACCACAGCAGCTTTTGCAACTGAACCACCAGTGGGCTGGCCGGTCAGCACCGGCAGGATGAGAGTTGTTCGCCCAGCAGACAACGAGTACAGAGAGCGTCACCCCAGAGGCGAATCTGCCCCCAGGCCTCGGCTGAGAATGGCGAGGCTGTGGAGCTCCTCAAGAGGGCGCTGGGACCGGGGGCAGTGACAACTGCTGCTCCTAGTGCCCAGATGCAGACACTTTCTAACAGGGACACACAGGGACTTCGGCGAAAACGGGATGCCCCCGGCCCCGCTGGCTTCCGAGATGCCTGCTGCCCGCTCCTACTGCACTGCTGCTGCGTACTGGGGGGCGCCGTGGGAAGATCCAGAGGGCTCAGCTCAGCCGGCTGCGCCAACCTGCTGTGTTTCCGGACACCCTGGTCTGTCCAGCTGGTTTCTCCTGAAGTTGCGGAGCCTCAGCAGCTTTTCAACTCCACAGTGTTCCTTACTCCTTCTCCCCCGCAGCTTCCTCCTGAGGGATGGAAAGTTCCCTTCTCCAAGCCCCACCAGCCACACACTCACAGCCAGGGTCCCCTGCTCCGAGCGCCTTGCTGCCGTCCGTCCAATGCTCCCCTAAGGATGAGATTCCAGCTCGTGCGAGTCTAAGCTTCATCCCCGAGCTCCAAGCATAGGCGTGGACACGCAAGCATTCGGTCCATGTTATTTGACTTTTTATCTGTCCATCTTCCATGGCTGGGTCACAGCAGAATCAGAGACCCAGTCCCGGTAAAAGCAAATTGTGCCGTCCTAAGTCACCTACAAAAATTCAGTATGGTCTGAAACGCTTTAAATAAAGATAAAGCTATGTGTTGGATACGTGTGTGTAATCAATTAGTTGTGGACGCGCGAGTGTGTGAATTATCAGGTTGCCATGGCTTAGGTCTAAATGTGAGCCCAGAGTCTTGGGCTCGGAGGTGGCTGGGTCCTGGTGGGCGCTGAGCTCATGGAGGGGTTCACCCATTACACGGAGCTGGGTGCCCTGGGAGGACGCAGGTCACCAGGAGGGTGCCCCTTCTCCTTTTTCTCTTCTTCCTGGCTACCATGGGAACCAAACCCAAAATCAGTCTTCCCTCAAATTCATTTTCCCTGGCATTTGTCAAAGCAGCAAGAAGCTGACAGAGAAAGCCCGTCCTCGAAAAGGGGCCACCTTGACAACTTAGCAGTGGTTCAAGAGGGACAGCCGTGCGACATGCTGGGGATAAAGCACCACTCCCTCCAGGCCTCTTGGGGCGCAGGATAGCAGGGGTCCCTAGCCTGGCGCCCGGCCCAGGTGGGTGCCCTGGACTCTGCAGTGTCGCTCCTAAGGGACCATCGAGGTGCTTATCCCTCACTTGAAATGCAACTGAGCGATTTTTAAAAAACTATTGCAGCAGGCAGAGTATTTCTGATCACCTTGTTTTACGCTGACCTAGATAGAACAACAAATAATGAAGTAAACTGGGAAATTTCATTATTGTCCCCGAAGACCCCACTCCTAGCACACTGGTGTTGATGTCTCTTTAATACTGATTGCCAGCTACAGATCGGTGTGCATTTTACGCTGCATCATTCATGTGTTTATAACCTGCCTGCTTCCCAAACTGATTTTAAGTGGCTCACAGCAACACAGGCCTCTGTCTCTGCCTGTCCAAGCAGAAATGAAAATCGAAGCACCGAATATATTAAAGGTGTTGATCCTTTCTCCTGAAATATGTTCCTCTTATAGCTGCTCATTCCCGGTTCTTTTTATTCAGAAACTAGATTTTAAATGATCTTAAAAATATTTGTAAATATCACAGGAATAAAAATGTTTAAATGTTGACTACATCCTAAAATTCTCAAACTTCTTCACTGATGCATCATTTTTCTGTATGTTTTTCCTCAATCTCACTCTAAAAACTTTGGAATAATTTCTTATTTAAAAATGTTTTAAGTCTAGTACCAAAGGTCCGAGATATCTATCATCTCTGAGAATATTACATGATTTTATCATCTCTACTTAAAAACCATATGCATTTGTACCTATGTTTTAGAATTTTATTGTTATTTGTGGGAAAGTTGCACATATGATTCATCCCTTCTTGTAAACATCTGATGCAGATTTCTTCAAACACAACAGTTCACTATAAATCAAGTCTGATGTGGACAGAATGCTGCTACAGTCCAGACTGTGTTAAAATTGGCAGAGTTTTTCCAGATGGCTGAGGGCATCCACACCACACCTCTTAAGAGTCCATTAGTCTTGCAGGCTCTTGATCTATCTTTTGCCTTCTCTCTCCTTGATGCATCTGCAATCTACAAGCCGGTTTCTGGGGATTATTGTTCGGTTTGACTGCTTCTGCTGCTGCTCAGGACTTAGGGAGGTGCTGGGGTGGAAGTCCCAAGGTGACCTGGTCTGTGCATCCCTTCCGGGCAGTTTCCAGCCACTGGGCCCTAGGCAGTGGGAGGTGCTGGTCCAGGGACTCCAGCAGCTGAGAGCATCTCTTCCTAGTACAGCCAGGGACAGCAGGTTGCTGCTGCAGCCAGCAGAGGGGCCACTGGAGCCACAGCTGTTGGGCTCTGCTGTCAGTACCTGAAATGTCCCTGAGAAGCAGGCATCCCGAGGACTGACGCGTTCGCACTTGGTGAAGGTGGGCGCCAGGACCTCACCTCTGGTAGCACTGCTTCCATCCTCACGGAGAGCATGGGTTTGGGGGACGCGTAGGACGAGGGGCACCCTGACCCCCGTCGGTTAGCACTGTGTGTGGACCAGCCTGGCCACTCGTACGCTTGCTGACAAAGGAGGCCTTGGTGAGCCCCCATCCACTTGCCAGCTGGTGTCCACAGTGCAGGGGGAGGACTTCTCTTCCCTTCTCAATTCCTTCTGTTTCATGCAAAATAATTAACGTTTTTGTTGTTGTTCTACTACAGCCCTGGAGTCAACATTTCTCAAAAAAAAAAAAAAAGACAATACTGGTTTCTTTAAGAGAAGAATAGCATCAGAGTGATACTCAAAGTCCAGATTTGGTACTAGCCACCCTAGTACCAGCTCACAGCTGCTGGGTTGTTGTTATTTTACATCTCTTAAGAGATGGAGGTGGAAATTGGGGTGTGTGCACTCATACGTGCTCCGGTTTTCATTCTCGTCTGTAACCATGCACTGAAACCACGAGCTCACATCAACACCTCTACCTCACGTCCTGCACACCCTGGTCTGCTCTCCCTTCCCCATCCTGTTTCGGCTTTGCAGACCCCAAGAAGCTGGGTCTTGTCCTCCCCATGTTTCCAGGCAGTGCGCTCCCGCCCTCCCGGCTCCTGGGAACTTCCTCAGATCCCAGCCCTGCCAGCTGTCCGGGCCTGGCAGCCTCCTGCCTTGGCCCTAAGTGTGCCACACACTTCACGTCGTGCTCGGGAAAGCAGACTGGCGCAGGCGGACCTTTCTGTTCACCCTGCCCAGAAGAACGGGCTGAAAGTGTGCGCAGAGCCTGCGGCATCTGTGGGACCACACCTTCCTCACAGCTTCATGCCTGACCGTGTGGGCTGCAGCAAGGTCCATGGCCACAGAGACGGAGTCCTGCAGTTCCTACCGGACAGACACTGCACAGCCTGGAAGGAAGGGCCCGCGCGGTGGCTCGCACCCCGCCTCTTGGGAGTGAGTCCAGTCTTACTCTGATCCGTGCCTTGTGGCCTGCTCACTCTCAGAGAAAGCCAGACCTGCCATGTAGCGCAGAGACGGAGTTGTTCTGTGAAATGCATTTTAAAAACAAAAACAAAAACCGTACTACTTAAGTGAAGAACATAGAAACATTTTATCAGCCTGTCCAACTGGACAGAAAATGTACTACATAAAGCAAACCTCATGTTGCTAGCGTCCAGTCACACTGTTTTTACATCTTCACAGTGTACGTATGAATGAATTTTTCTTTCATAGTTTATTTATTCAGTTACATTTTTATTTCACTCAAAATGAGTTTGCTAAATCATGTACATGCTTTCCTTTTCTACCATTTGAGTCCAAAGCAAGAACCCCACCTTCCACAACCAGTTTTAGGAGGGTGTCTTGCTTCACACCTCAACCCTGTGCTGTGAGGACCCTCGTGTCCATCTCAGGAAGAAAATCAGCATCATCCCCATGCCTGGCGCAGAGTGGATGCAGGCTGAGGGAGCAAGTGTGACCCAGCGGCGAGCTCTGCCAAGCCTGTGGCCTGGCTATACTGTGAGGAAAGAGAAGCAGGCAGTGACTCAGGCCTTGCTGCCCATGTTTGTTGGCATCTTACGCCCTGGTGCTCTCATTTCTGGCATATCTGGCCCCTCAGAGTTCTGGTCACTGTCTGACCTAGGCAGCTCCTGAGGGGGGCGTGTCTGGTCTCCAACCAGGCCTCAGGACTGAGACTCGGAGCTGCTGATTTCCAGTGGGTGTGGGCAGCACCTCAGACCCCTGGGTGTGGCAAGAGAGGTCAGGACTGTGAGGTCCCACAGGCCGGGCTGCCACGCCTTCCTGGACTCTGGGATCAGTCGGGGCCCATCATCCTCAACTCCCAGCTCTGGGGCCAGCAGTTCAGAGCCAGGCATAGGACCTGCCGATGACTCGGCCTCTCTGCCAGTAGACAGTGGCAAACCCTGTTAGGCAGGGTTCATCTTCACACACTGAGGAGGCAGATTTCACCCTTCTCGTTACTACAATGGATGATGGAGTCAGGAACTGTGCATGACACACAGATTAATACTTGTTCTAAAGAACGTAAATGTCTAGAAAATGAATGCGGTGCGTAGGAATGAGTAATAGGATTCCACTTTAAAGTGTACGATGGAGGCACTGCTCAGGCCTACATCGTTCTGAGAGGAAAGTGTTTCTCCTCTCTCCTGTCTCGCTCTGTCTCTGCATCCATCTCTATCTCTGTGTCTGTTTCTTCCCCTCGCTCTCATGTGTGTGGCTGCAGCTGGCGAACCTGGGAAGGCACTGTTGCCCTGCATCGGCAATCTTTACCCTCGCTCCTTTTTGCCCCTGACTCACCCTGCTGTTCTGACCAGGAAAGGAGGTGCAGTGAGGCGGAGCAGAGCTGCTGTCTGTGGCGCCAGAACCCACGGACCCAGAAACTCTCTGAGGTCTGAATGGCTCCGTGAGGCTTGGAAGGAAGGGCTGAGCCTCGGCACTGTGCAGTAAGATGGCCCTGCAGGTGGCCGAGGCTCAGGGGCTGGGGAGCAGGGCCAGGTAGGGACTCGGCCACCAGGTCTTGGCTCCCCCTGTCCAGGCCAGCCTGGGGTCCCCACGGCCCGGCTGCCTCCTCCAGCCTCAGTCCGTCCCCTCCCCTGGGCCTGGGTAGAATGATACCCTCAGGCCTGTCCTGGAGACGGAAGTTGGGCAGGCAGGGAAAGGACCAGGTTGTGTGACGCTAATTGGAGCTGCCAGGCTGGGGTCTCCCTACCTGAGAAGCTGCCCAGTCTTGGGGCGCTCGGGTCTCCCCCGTCATGGATCTCCAGTGAGTCCCAGTTCTGCTCCGTGGCGAAGCTGATCACTTGGATCTACCAAAGCAGAGGGTGCAGTTAGGGTTGGCCATGGCCAAGTGACGTCCACCCGGTCAGACATAGTGTCCAGGACCGACCAGAACAGACACCAAACCAGAGGAAACAGTCAGGGAGTTAGATAGCAAAACCTCTGAAAAAGGCACCTTTTATAGTTTTTACTCCCCAAATCAGTCATGTTTCCTCCAAACATAATCACATTATCAGAAACATTTTGTGAAATTATTAAGAAAAGATGAATTGGTCATGGTCTATGTTATTTAAAATAATCAACATGAAAGAGAAAGAAGACAGAAAAAAGCAAAGTAAAATAAAGTAGTAAAGGAGGAAATGGAGAGAAAGAGAAAGAAAAGCAGGATGAAAAGAAGGGAAGGAGGGCAGGAAGGGAAGGGGAAACAGAGGGAGAGAAAGAGAAAGAAGAGGAGAGCAGAGGGCGAGGGAGGGGAGGGAAGGAGGCGGGAGAGAGAGCAGGAAGCCGAAGCCCGAAGCCCACAGAGCCCCAGCCCAGTCTTAGGCTGCAAGGACCACACACCTGAATCCCGGACCCCTCAGTCACCACAATCCTCCACACGCAGTTCAGGTTGTTGCCATAGGGCTCAGGGTAGCCGGGGGACAGGATTGTGCCTCTCCGCTGGGTGAAATTGCCACTGCAGGGAACTGAAGGACACAGCACATTTAACCCAAGAAAAGCAGTGAGGACCACGCACGTCTGACCTTCAGTTTCTATTGCTCTGTGGTCATGCAGCTAGGGAAACTCCACCTGTGCAGTGGCATTTCCAGTTGAGCTGAAGTTCAGTCTCTTAAATTAGCAGCATCAGTGATAATTATCAGTTATGCTACAGGTTCTGGATCCTGAGACTGAATAAATCTGGGATGAGTGAGAAGTGACAGCTCATAGTCACAGTGTCTGGGGAGTGCGTTCTGCACAGAGCAATTTATCTGCACAATGAAAGGACCAGGGAAGGCCACTGTCCCTCCTCCCAGAGTAAAGTCCAGAGTGAGTGGACAGGATGGTCTGAGCAGTTCCTGGGAGGAGAAATATGCTCGAGATTTTCAAGGGCTTCAGGAGCTCATAGCGGTCACACTGGAGCTTTCTACACAGAAGAAAGCAAACTAATAACACCACCATCAACCCAGCCACAGTAACCAACTGATTTCAAAGCATCCTTCAGCACAGATATATCAAAAGGGCAATCTACAAGTGACGCAGCATTTCAACGTTTGGGTGAGTTCCCTGCGTGGACGGTACTGTACGAGAACACTTCAGGAAAGACATCATGCTTAGTAAATACGAAGAAGGAAAACGTGTTTTGTCCTCATCAACCATCAGAGTTGTTGTATGGAACAATACTGTTAAAGATTTAGCTGTACTCAGTTACTTCTAGTAAAGAAGATGGTGTGGTGTTCTGGTGAGGGGCAGGGTCACCTTGGGGGCCTGGCAGCAGTGGAGACGCAGCTCCCTGGAGCCCCGGGCCCCCTGCACGCTCCAGGACAGCACCCGTGAGCCCCTTACCCACGCAGCTTGGGATGGAGTCGTTCCACTGTGCCAGTGCATTGGGCACTGCCCGGCAGCGGATGGCCGCAGAGCCTTGCAGCAGGTACCCGGGGTTGCACTCAAATCGAACGATGGAGCCTGCAGAGAAGTCAGATCCGATCCTCCTGCCATATCTGGGCTCAGGGATGGAGCTGCACTGTGTGTCACTGGTCCGGGGAACAGCTGCAGGCAAAGCACAGGCAGAGCCATGAAAGCCTCTAAGTTGGCTGCTACAGTGGTGCAGACTCACTGGACACACAGACCTGTGCTGCACTCGAGGAGCTGACGCCCAAGTTGCACCACCCCCTGGCCCTTCCAGACTGCCGGAGGAACTGCTCTGTAAAGGGTCCCTTACCATCCAGCCACTGCGGCGTGACAATAATGACAAGCAGAACCACCACGTGACCACGACCCCAGGCCTGAACGGCCATGCAGAAGAAACAAATTCAGGGTCTTAAAACTATCTGCCCTCCCATGTTCACTGCAGCTGTGTGCACTGCTGCCAAGGAGTGTCCAGCAACGAGTGGACAAAGAAAACTGCACGCAGACAAGAGAACTAGTGACACCTGTGACCTATACACAGGGACTTTGCTCAGCATAAAGAAACATCCTGTCACTCGCAGTGCTTGTGCGCCTTTAAGGTCTCTGGGCTGAGGAAGAACCTAAGGCAGCCGAGACTCCAAAGCCAGGTGTGGCGGCCACAGAGGCTGGCCAGGGCCAGTGGTGTGGCTGCCTGGGGAGAGATGCTCCTGCCTCTCACCGGGGAGGTTGGAGGGAGCTGTGTGTGGATCACTGACATGTGCCCAACACACCGCGTCAAATTTCCAGAACTGCGTGGGAGCATAGACTCCACGCGACCGCAATGAGAGAGAGCCAGTGTGCTCTGGGAAACAGAACTAAACTGTTCACTGTTCTTGGAGAGGCATGGGAGGGAAGTGAAGTTCAACCCTGTAGCCAATAATTCAAATCAATTGAAGAAATATTTTCTATCAAAAGACGAAAGTTAATAAAATTGTATACTACATAACCACTACAGTTGACAAAATTAATAATACATCTGAGTCGAGCAAGTAGAGGAATACAGAATAACGATGTTACCCTAGCATTGCTTAGAATTGTGTTTGCCACACTTGTATGCCTGAGTGTCCTGAACTGCAGGTTGGAGACTTCCACAGTTACCCTAAGGGTTTCTGCCAAAATGAAGAATGTTTTCCTATAGCAGTAGTTTTCCCACTTGTGCTGGGTCACTTGGAGGGAAGCTGATCTTTATGCAAGGATTCCACTTGTCCAAGAGGCTCTGGGCCTGCGTCTCTCCTTCGTGTACTTCCAGAGAATTACTGTCCTGCTGGGTCCTGGGATGTGAGGAGAAAGCCAGTCGCAAGCACATTCTGCCCCAACTTGCTAGGAAAACTCTCTCCATGAAATTCATGTTCATCTGTGTTCAAGGGAAGGAACCACACAGAATCACCAGTGTCTGGATGCCGCGGTGAGAACGGTGTCCAGGTGGAAGTGAGGAAAGCACAGAGAGGAGACAGAAGAGTCAGGGAGCTGGGCCAGAGGAAAGCTACCGGGAGGCCCAGACTCTGGGGACCTGGAGATGGGGTGGACGCTGCTGGGAACCGTGGTCCTGCTCGGCCGGTTCTCCCCTACTGGCCTCTGCAGGCTGCACCGAGACATTCTGCATGCTATTGTAATTATTCTCTACCTTTCATGATGTCCCTCACTAACTACTGAGGAACAAAACTGAAACCAGCTCAGGGCAAGTGAGCAGGGACAGAGGTCAGCCTGGAGTATGGCAACGAACCACAGGTCTGACTCCCCACCCCGGGCAGCAGCGTGGTGGCAGGGCCACACCTCCAGGCCTCACGCAGTCCTGAGAGGCAGCAGGGTGTGCGTGGGCCACTCAGCCAGACTGTGCTGTGTCCTCCCACACTGCCGCAGCGGCCCAGCTAACACCACAATGAACAGCCTGACTGCACACAAGGCTGGCGTGCAAGACCCCCCTATGGTGCTTTCGTGTGTCTTTAGTGCCCAGGGATATTTTCTATGTCTCAAAACCATCCTCCTCTGGTAGCTGAAAAATCTGATTTGACAAGCCATTGCTAGTCAAGGAATTCAAATGCATATCACTGAATTACAAACAAAATTTGATGCCCAATCTTGCTTGTCAAAACCGTACATCTTAGAAGATCGTGATAAAAAATATGAGTTTTTAGAAGAGGGAAACCAACAAAGCCTCATAACTCACGTCCTCTAAGGGGAGAAGCAGCCCAGGAAAGCAACTAAAGTGTGTATTTGCGTGCTTCGAAGGGCTGAGGCCAAAGAAAGTCTCCATGAAATTTCCCTGCGCACACTGGGGGCACCTTCAAGTCTCTAGGTCTGCTGTCTGTGACGGGGACCATGGGGGATCCACACCTCGGGAAAGTCACTCCCACACCCTGACCAGGAGACACTGAGGAGCGGCCCAGCACAGACCCAGGGGCACTGCGCAGGGATGACAGGGAACGGCTTCATTGTCTCGCAAAGACCCACAGTGAATGTACACATCTCACGAAGCTGGTGTACACTACTTGAAGGGAGCTGAGAGCCATTAGACCGTATACTGGAGCCCAGGAAAACAGTGCACATGACCAGGTATAAGCACAAGGGACAAGCAGCAAGATGCCCCTGCTGAGGGCAAACACAACTCCAAGGACATGGGGCATGGGCAGAGGGGGCGCAACAGGAGGCAGTGCATGCGCCCCGCTTGGGGTCAGCTGGCCCTGCTGCCCTGTCCCCTGGGTCTGGTGTTGACTGTCACATGGACTGGCACGAACTCTGTCCAAACAATGACTGCAGAGAAAACCAAAGGTTGCTCTCACACTGGAGGAAGGGAGGAGCAGCGGAGGAGGGATGGGTGTGGTTTGGATAAGGCGGCCTGCAGCATGGGAGGGTCACTTACGATGCCACTCGGCCGGGTCGGAGCTCGGAAGCCCAGAAGAGGTGCCAGAAGCCATGAGCCTAGACTCTGAGATCAGGGAGCGGGGAGCCAGCTGGGAAAACCAGAGGTCGGCCGACCACGAAGGAATGACAGCTGAGCGTCAGTGTTCACACTCACAGTGGCACTGCGGGCACGTCGGGGGAGGCCAGCGGAAAGGGCAGGGCGGGCAGGGCCATTCAGAGGGTCGGATGCTTCCCAGACACTGGAAGTCCGGGGCCACTCCGACTCCTGCGCGATGGGTCTCCTGTAGCACTTGCTGCTCCCTGCTCCACTGAGGGTGAAGTCAGAAGCGGAGGGAGGGGAGCCCCTGGAAAGGGATCGGGGCTCCCTGGCCTGTGCTGCACCCGCGGTCCTTTCTCTCCCCTCTCCTGACACCCCTGAGGGCCTGTGAATTACACAAGCTTCACCCCACAGGGTGGCAAAGCCCTCGGAGATTTGAACAACACCAAAGCTGCCAAGCAAACTTCCCAGGTGCTGGCACAGCCCGGATCAGCGTCGCCCACAGTCACAACAGAGGCCAACCTTTTTGGGAGCCATGAGTTCTAATTCAGCCTCTTCTTTCCCTCTCCTCTCAGAGTGTGGAACACAAACAAAACTGGGCAAATACTTGGGTTCTTTAGGCCACTTCTTGAAAAACCTCTCTGCAAGGACATCTCTTTGGGAGAATGATGGCTTCATCGCTGTCATTACCACCCTGGGCACCATGCAGGCAGGGAGCACAGGGCTACAGGCGGTCACAGCTCACACGGAGGCACGTGTGTTTTGCCCCGTGACTGCTGAGGTGTGTTCACCCTGCATCCAGCAGCTCCTCCCAGTGGCAGGATCCGTGGGTCTTAACCAGTACTGCACCCTACAACCACAAAATCATGAACCCGCCGAGCAGTTTCTAAGCTTTAGTAACCGTAGGAAAGTGCTATCCAGCGAGATTGTGTCCAGCAGAGTTTGGGGAATTTCTGAGCCTCCATACAGCTGTGATGGTTCAGGAATGGAGGTTCAGTTTAACTTCTCATACATTTTGAAAACTTTCCCTGTTGCTGTTGAGTGCTTTAAAAGTTGCATTTAGGATCCTCTTTCGTCGCCTCCAAAAGATTTGGGTTTGGTAGGATGACAATGATTTACATAAAATCTCACTGGTGGAGAACAAGAAATAGAGGAAACTGGGGACTTTGTAACATAGTGAAGGTGTTGGGTTCACTGCACATTCTCCAGAGTGAGGGGAAACAGACGCCTCCAGGGTCTCACTTCCCTGTCCATGTTTTCATGGCAATGTACGAGTTTAAGTTAAGAAGCAGAATTCGAAGAAGTGTGTTTTCTGAATGGTGATGCAGAGATAACCAGACTTAATCAGAATGTTCGAATCGTTGCAGAAATCAAAGGCAGCTGTTCGTCACTTGGACAGCACCTGTAGTGCGAGTATTCCCAGGGAAAAGGCATGGAATCATCAGGCTCACTCTGCATCTCTACAACGACTTGTGAGTCTGTGTTTGCAAGTAGTTTAGAAGTTGAAGAAAATGAGCAGGGGAAAGAAGCAGGCTGCTTAAACTGCCATTCCCTGACGGTCAGTGTGTTAATACTGGTTAATTATTGACATTTTCATAAAGGTTAAAGCCTGCAACAGCATAGACACTTTTAATTCAGCAATGTCAGCTTTCCATCCACTGCTACGTAAGTGGGACTGGGAATATTCCAGCCCTCACCGGCCCGTGAAACTCACTCCTATTCTTCTGATAATCCGTAATTAATGAAAACTGAGGGTGGGAGAGCACGGCCTTTACAAGGTGAGATCACCAGGAAAGACTTGCACAGGAGGTGCCATGCTATTCTACACCTTTACTACAGGAAAGAAGCCATTGCAGTCTCAGCGAGCACTCAAGCCCCGAAATATCGATGCATCGCTTCTCATTTCTGAGCACGGTTTATGTGCGAGGACGGTGATGTGTCTCGGACCACAGCCCGACAGCTGTTACCAATCTGTCCAAGTGTCCCCCTGCTTCTGAAAGTGGATGCGCCCTCCGTGTGGCATTTTTCAAGTTCACACAATGCACATGCAAAGCCAAGAGGAAACGCAGTAGGTGAAACAGAATTCTTTACTTTTCAGAATTTGAAGCCACCCCAAGTAAGCTCCAATTTAAAACTATGTGTGAAAGTTCAAAAGTACTGAAGGTGAATAAAAGACAAATTATCAGACAACGGAAATCGGTTATGGTGGTAGGGGCTTGAGTGATGTTTTGTGTTTTGCTTGCTTTTGTTAAATTGTCTTTAAAGATAGTTTTAACGATAAAATGCAGAATTATATACTACACACTTTAAATTGGTTTTATGAAAGCAGGGACAAGATCTAACCATTGCAAAACAGCTTTCTGAATGAGAGGAAGTGCTATATGTGTAGTCACAGGGTAACTCGTGGAGGGCTATGCAGCACTGTGATCGAACCCAGGGCCGGGACATGCGGGTGAGTGCGCTGCCACCGATCCCCAGCTTGGGTGTGTCGGGGATGTCATCACGCCCTTCCAAAGTGAAATTCAAGTGTGAAAGACGGACTGATGTCTGCATGAGATCGTTCTGTGATAAATACATAGGTATCTGCAATCCTGTCAGGACCCAGCATGTGCTTTTGGCTTTTGGCGCTTTTGGCAATGTGCCTGACAGCAGTGGCAGTGGCAGAGACCGCGGCAGCAGACAGAGCCCTTTACCTTGATACAGAAAGTGGAAGCCCCTGGCAGATGCACCGCTATTCGCACTGAATTGCAGGAGGATCTGATTGGACGTGGCTAAAGGCAAGGTTTCACCTACAAACAAAAACAGAGATACATGAGACCCAGAAAATGCACAGCACTGGGATGAGTCATAGTTTCCTGAAAAATAAATACCACCTTGAAATTTCACAACACACTGTTAAACTTTTAAAGTAAATTTCACGTTGGGGCTTAAGATGCAATCATAATGATTGTATAAAGATTTCAAAACTCCATACTTGCTCATGCATTCTATTAAAATGAAGTATAATATCACCAATGCTTCATTTATGCTATTTGAAGAAAGGGCCAGTAATATTTTTAGCTGACAATACACGAGGTAAAAGTACCATGGGAATCTTTTACTTTAAATAACTTTAATGTAAAAAAAAATAAAATAAATTACTTTAATGTGATTATTACTTGCTTTTCAAATTAAGAACATTTCCTCAAATACAAACTCACGCTATTAAAGGACTCAGAAGAAGTCTTCTGAAATATATATCTTAGCTCTTTAAAATGCACACGCAGATGGAGGAAGAAGGAGAAATAAGAACTGAGATGCGTTATACACAGGTGCCAGTTCCTCACAAGGAACACAATCATGAAGTCCTGCATCATGGACCAGTAAAACATACAAATTAGAAAGTAAGGCACACATAGAGAACAGGGAAGGACCTTCCTGCAGCTCCTCCAAGGACCCTGTGCATGGGCATATGCTTTTGCAGGGAACCTGGTACTGAAGACATGATTGCAAACGTATCTCTTTGACACATTCCTCCCTCTGACTTTGTCAGGAAGGAACAAAAACGTAAGCCTTAAGACTTTCAGTGAATAAGAAGATAGCAAAAAGCTAGGAAATCTTAGCCATCAGTTGGTCCAAATCTGTGATGTACACCATCCACTTTACTTGGTAAATTCACTGGGTGGATTTGCACAGCACAGGGCTGGTAAGGGGCTAGTTGTCCACGAGGGAGGAGGGCAGCGAAGCCTGTGTCAGTCAGATGGAAGGCAGCGGCCCTGCATCTGCATACATTCAAGTCTCGGAGTGCTGCCTGCACCCACATCTCCACGGGATCAGAATGATTGGGAAAGAATGTTAGAGCTTCTACTACAAGGGGAAAGTTCAGTCACAAAGCATAGAAAGTAAAGTACAGAAAGCACTGTACTGCCACTTCTCTTTCTGATATGTATTGTTATTGAAGCGAATATTATATTTTCCATAACCTTAGTAAGTAAATTGATAAAGGCAGGTATTTTATATACAGAATGAAAATGCTTTTGAAGTCTAATGTCTAAAGCACAAATTTGCCAAACACCTGCAAATTCAACAATGGTTAAAATTCTCATTCCTCAAAAAAGGAAAAGCAGTAGGCAAGTTTAAAATTAATCTCTAACACAGTGTAAAAGAATTAAAGGCAAACATTGCTTGAAATTTTACCTGAGTGAGACCCCGAGAGGGAGCTCAGCAGCCTGGCCTGGGGATGGGTCCCGTCAAAGAGCTCTGCCAGATCGTTGAGTGCTGTCTGGAAGTAGGCGAACTGTCCAAACACCACTGGGAGCCAGGGGAAGGGCACACAGGCAAAGCAAAGTCAATGTGAGGGTCACTCTCCAAAGTATCTTATCCTAAGGACCATCTGTTGTCTAACACTTCAGTGATTGGACAATTTTGTTTTGCTTTTGACCTTCTAGCACTTCACCAAAGGAAGAAAATTACTGTTTTCTCTATAATTTGAGCATTTATAAAGGATCATTTTCTTATAATGAATAGTACTGTAAGATAGAGTAAGAAGATCTCTAAAGGAATCTTACTTATTTTTGACTAGTACCATTTTATTTGGTGAAAAGTAACATGGGTATCGAGTAGCATGATAATTTGGTGAGTAATTTAAAACTCATTATGAAAAGTTACTATTGTATCTAATTCCTGTCCATCTCAGTCCTATGCTTGATTCAGCAAGATACCGTAGGAATTGGGTATTTTGAGTCCACTGTCTATGCTACAGGTACATAAGGTTGTGTGTTCACACCTCCAGCAAGTAAAACATAACTATATATTTCACAGTCCAAATTTAATCAATGTCTGTAAAAGTGATGATGAATGTGGCTTTATAGACTTAGGAAAACTTGTGACCTAGTACCTGTTTACAAGCAACAAGCAACCTATCCTTTGCTCATTCTTATGTAAGCCTTACACAGCAGTCGTTCTACCTCATTATGAGCAATGAATGGCAAAGCATAGGTCAATTTTGTGTGTCAGTTTTCTAGTGGAAAAATTAATGTGTAAGCACAGATGAAGCATCCAAGTCTAACACTGTGCTTGTCTATCTGCACGTGCATCCACTGAGTTCTGTCCTCATACATAATCAACATCTAAGGCACGTTTTTCACTTTGAGATTTTAATAATTCCTCCTGGAAACATGAAGGGGTCCCACGAGTGAGGCAGATTTTCCCAGTGGGTGAAGGCTACTCAAACCCTCGAGGTTCCGAGATCAGGTGACAGAGAACATTACAGTCTGCGTGTCTCAGAAAGCCCTTCCCACCCCACAGCTCCCAGAACAATCACATTTCTGTCATGTTGTAGGCTGAATGTGCAGGTCCTTTGATTCATATAAAAGTGAGCCAGCTGCCCATATATCCTATTTCTCTGCAAGAAAATCACCAGCTCCATGCTAGCAACTGTGGGGAATGAAGGAGACACGAGCCTGCTCCTGGCTCCCCTGACCTGAGTTCTGAATCACAGCGAATAGCACACTTGTCTGCTGAGGGACCAGCTGTGCACAGGATGCCCACACTGTTGCTGAGCATGTGAGGATGGGACAACGTAGGAAGACAGAGCTACTGGACTGAAGACTCTGGAGCAGTTACCTGCATTACAGCCAGTCCTCCAACAATGAGAATCAAAAGCTGTGTGTGTGTGTGTGTGTGTGTGTGTGTGCGTGGTTGCGTGTGCGTGAGTGTGTGTGGGTGTGAATCTTAACAACAAAGTGTCATATGGCAAGTGGAACATAAAGAACAGAACCCTGGAGGTGACACGTGTGGTCCAGAGTCTAGAGGACCTGTCTGCAAGGCCAGGGGCCCTCGTCACAGGCCTCAGAGGACAGACACGACCCACACTTACCACCACACATTTTACTCACTTTACCCAAAGGAGTGACTTCCAATATTATCAAGATATTAATGTGGCCCGATTCCCATTTTATAAATGAAATTTTTGCACTGCCTTTGGATAAAAACAGAGGAAATCAGGCTCTCTGATGGCCTGTGTCGAATGTCACTTCCCATTTTCAAGCTTGTGTTTCTCACACACGGAGCAGATTTCCTTCCTGGCAGTGGCGGTGCCCCTGAGCATGTCAGGGTGTGGCTGTACGCACTCTCCTTTGTGTCGCGGGTGCTCATGTCTATTGGCGAATTTATTGTTCATCAATCAATCTCCAAGGAAAGAAGAAAGAAGGAGGAAAGACAAGGTGGGATGGGAGAGGTTGTACAGAGTGCCCAGTACAGCTCCTGTGCTCCACGTCGAATCTTTCTTTAGGGAGAATGAAGTGCTGCCCACTAAGGCAGGAGAGCAGTCCTGCCTTCCAGGCAGTCAGTCGCTCCAGCAGGGCGGGGCCGGCAGCTGTGTGGCCAGCACACGTCCTTCTGGGCTCCCCCGTGACTCAGTCTGGGATCGGAGGGGCTGGCAGACAGCACAGCAGAGGCGCCCGAAGCTTGTTTCATACATGCAAGTGTCTTCCCCAGCGACTCAATTCCCAGCACGTAACTGTGCTTTCTTTAGGTGTCTTATCTCCAGTGCATGCCAACCTCAGAATTACTATCTGCTTTATTCTGGGTGATTGCTTATTTAATATAAACAATATCCTTGGCCAGGTGGGGCTTTAACTTCAGCATTGGAGAAGCAGCAATGGCCTGTGAGACTGTAAAAGCTACGGTCAGGTTTACTCCAGGGAAGACCCAGAGGGACAGACTCCTGGATAGAGCGGACAGGCACGGAGAGTGGAGCCTGGGAAGCCGTGCGGACGCGGAGTCAGTCTGCAAACCTGCTGGGGGAGGCAGCACGAGAAGGAACTGCAGAGCCAGCTCCAGGAGACACAAGGATGCCCCCATTTACATCACGGGGCCCAGTGGGTCCCGTGACTACTAACTCCAGCGGCCAGCTGTGCTCAGAGAGACCCTACACTCCTCACCCACAGCTCCTGTCTGTCTGCTTTCCAGCTTGATAGCATGATGACAGAATCCAGGAGCCTGAGCAACTGCTCTGCCACCAAGTTATGTCCAGAGCCCCTTTTTATTACTTTTATTTTGAGGCAAGTTCTTGCCAAGTTGTCCAGAGTGGGCTGCAACTTAATATCCTCCTGTCCCGGCCTCCCCAGAAGCAAGGATTCCAGAGATCAACCACCCTACCCACCTCTAAACCATTAGTTACTCTGTAACCACTCCTTACACACATAAACATCCTATTAAAACAATGATTCCCCCAGAGAGAACCAGCGGAGTGTCCTGTGATTACTTGGGATCAGACTGTAGGAAGGAAGGTGAACACTAATGTCACATTGGTGAATGACCTGACTTGATGCAATTGATTTTCATGCTATTTTTAGTAGGATGCAGGGCATTCATTGAATGACTGGAAATTAGCCCTGAGAGGACTGTGACAATGATTAGAATATAAAAACATGTGCTTACCAAATTCCTTTGGCACAGTTATGGTGTAGCGGCAGGTCTGGCCCGCAGTGTAGTTGTGTGGGTAGTTGGGGGACAGGACCACCCCTTCGGACCCCGAGTACTGGCCTCCACACGGAGCTGAAAGCAAGACAGCCAAGATGTGAGCTGTGCCCGCTGCATCCAGGGCCAGGGCCCTGGCTTGTTTAGGGTTAGGGAGAAACTGAAGTGAAGATCTCATTCTTCACTGTTGTCAGAAGTAACAGAAAGGATGCAGCAGAGACTGACCACATGGATAACATCGATTCGCCTCTGGGAAATCAGCCTGCACAGTCATAGCACGGCTTCCACGAACACAAATACTTCCACTGCTGAATGGGCCGCTATAATTGTCTAGTTTCCATAAACCACTGAATTGATTTAGAGGAGATAAAGGTCATTGCTATTTCCTATGAGACTGATATGAGCCTGAAAGAATCAAAAGTAATCCTGCCTGGTAGGTTTGAACTCTGCGTTGCACAAATTCCATTAAGGAGCTGCGTGTGTAACGAGTGCATGTGGGGCCCTCTTAGGGTAATTTCAACAGGAAGAAAGTTAGGGCGGATAAATGGAGGGCGTGACGGAGAGCCAGAGTGCATTGCAAACGTGTGTACGTGTGTGTGCATTTGTGAGCCTGGGTCTTGACTTCCCCCACTGTCTCACTTACCCTGACACTGTTTCTGCTGAAAAATAAAACAGGAAAATGTTCTACTATACATGCTCAAAACACTCTTTAAGCCTCAAGAAACGGTCTTCTGATTAAATTGCAGGGACTTCATGCTCAGCTTCTGAATTTTAAGTCGCTAGCACTTCCAAGCCGTGAATCTGAAGTAAATCGAGGCCAGTGCCCTTCAGTTTTCTCAGCACCAAACTGCCTTTGCTGGGTGTGGCCTGACTCTCATTGGCTTCCTGGTTGCAGAGCCCCTGATCAGACTTCGGAGTTCTTTTCCATATCTGAGAAAATATATATTTCTACAGCTCATTTATTCTTGTTATGGCAATTTTTAAGCACCAAAAAAATATACAAATTAGAGATAGCAGGTTTAATCCCTCAAATGTTAATTAGCTCACTGACCCTAATTGATGGGCAGAACAATGTCCAAGATTAATAGGACACCTTGAAATACCACGGCCCTAACATGCGGGCACCCTGTTAGTGATTTGTCAAGAGACTTAGTGACCCATCAACTGCTTTCCCCAAACCCTTGTGTCATGATGGCTTCTGAGTCAAAGGATAGCGGTGTGGGCATCTGGCACTCCAGTGCGGTCCACTGCCAGCTAATGGAGAACGTACAGAACAGACTCAGCCAGGCCTCATGCTACAGTTGAACTCAGAGTAATGGTATCATCTGAAAACACCCACGTGGACATGTTCACGAGGATCAATAGGAAGCTGTTATCCTTGTTCTTAGGTCCTCAGTCTCCAGGCAGCCTCCCTTCCGTCTCACCTGCTGCTGTCAATGCACCCTGCTTATTTCAGAGCAATCTTTTATTTCCCCTCAAAGGCTTGAAGGTCAAAGTTCTAAAAATAACTACAAATGAAGAATTAAAATTTATTTTACTTTCCCTAGGTCCTATAAAATTCAAGTAGATCATTTTGCAAATGTCTCGTTTTCAGCTCAATAATTCTTTCACTTCAAATGCGACACAAGAAGTTTAAATGAAAAGTGGGGAAAATTATCCTTGGGCCAACATTTTGATGTGTGAATTTTATGGATGGGAAATTTGCTCTAATTGAGGGCATTTTCGGATACATTTCTTAAAGACATAACTATAGAGATTTGCAGCGTCTGTGGGAAGAGTTGTCTTGTGACCACATAATAGAAAAAAAGTCTAAATGAAATGAAGGAAAATTGGCCTTCTGACCTTTATTTGCCTTGGTGGATCATGCTCAGGTCCAAACTTTCTCCTCAGCTTACACCAAGACTACAGAATACGTTCCAGACTCAGCCAAATGTTTCTAAAATTGATAAGCTTACATGGAGAATTTTCATTTAATTCTTGCTTCATCAAATTACTAATAATTATTATTTCCATGCTCTTGTGTTAAACTAAGAATTGAGCACAATCCTTTTTCTGTTCAAAGTTAATCTATACTAATGGAGTGACAGGAGAAATAAGCATATGCCAGTTTACTGTCTGGTGCCATCCCACGAAAGCATTTCCTAGCTGAATGAAGACAGGCCAGAGAGATCACGTAGATGATGGAGAGACACCACTCATCCACTCTGCTGATTGGCATCTGTCCCCTCCATAGAAGGCAACCAGAGGCCTCAGACTGAGTGTGTGGGGAACAAGATGAGCCACAGAGCCACTGAGCCCACGGAAAAGGCGCTGGGCACTGCAGTTCAGCTCCAACTCCACGGCAGACTCAGAGAAAAAGGCTGTAGGTGATGGACAGAATCCCCAGGACAGAAGGCACTCATGAATCTAAGCAGACTGCATCAAGTGTGGCCCGTGTCCTACCATGCTGAAACTATCAAAATGTCAGAAATTAAGCAAAACTCCCAACAGTGACACTGCTGTTGAAGCAGGACTTACAAAAAAAGACAAAACAGGTTTCCCCAAGGGATGCAAAACCTCTTAGACTTCCCCTCCCAACTGCTATTGTTCGTTGTTCTACTACAAATACAATTAGTAAATTTGTTCCTGTGAACAAGGTTCCACAGCCTCTTGTTCTCATAACATTTTGTTTTTACCAGACCAAGTCCACCAAGATATGCTACAGAACTGTTACAGAACTGTTACAGTTACAGAACTGTAGCTTGACTGACTGCCTTTGTTCAACTTCTGTCCACAAGTTTCATGTTCCTAGGCAGACCCACCCCTCCTGGACAGCATGGATAAAACTAGAGCTTTTTCTTTGTTCTGGGCTCAGCCTTTGGACTCCAGTCCACTGAGGCAATGCACAACTGAAATCTTGGAATAAATCCTCCTGTTTTACCTGTGGTTTCTCCTGTCTCTTAAATTCTACAACTCTACAAGTGACCACAGACACAAATCCCTGCGCAGGCACACTCTGAAAAACCACTGGGCAGCTCCTCTGCCCCAGATACCTGGGGTGTGGACTTTTATTCCATGTAAATTGAATGCCAGAGCTCCATGGTTTTCTAGCTTTGATTACGTTAAAACAAAACTAAGAACAACAACAACAACAAAGACAACAACAAAAACCAAAAGCGGGCCACGGTGGCACACGCCTCTAATCCCAGCATTAGGGAGGCTGAAGCAGGAGGATCGCTGTGAGTTCGAGACCAGTCTGGGTAACATAGTGAGTTCCAGATCAGCCTTAACTACATAGTGAGACCCTGTCTCAAAAACAAAACAAAACAAAACAAAAAACCCAAAACAAAAAACAAAAAGCAAAAAACACCTGTGCTAGAATTCATAGGTTTTCAGACATGGAAAAAGAAGTAATCTTTGATTCAAAATTTGATCTCATATTTTTTTGCCCAAATAGGACTTCACTATTTTATGTTTAGAGAATCACCACCCTCCCATAGATTCAAATTACTTTTGAATTCAGTACAAAGTAAATTCCCTTAGAGTTATTACAATTCATAAAGCTCATGAGTGTTCCTGAATTTGACTTCCTTGTTCTATCTCCATTACACTGGTCCTCCTACACAACCTCCACAGCTCTTTGCATTGGGTTAGGAACAAGCTGGGGATGCCCACACCCCGCTGGCACACAGCCAAGGGACAGTCAGCTTGGGCCACTGAATCCGCAGGGAAGCTTCCTACATGTGGCAGTCGTTGGGTTCACCTGTCTTCTGACTCATGAAAAGCAGCAACAGAATGCTGTGTTTACTACTATAGGGTAAAAGATGCAAGAACTGGAAGATTGACAGGTAGACTTTTTCAGTGAAAATGACTTTATACACTCATGGATTAGAAATGCCTTAGAAACCTTAGTTCAGTTCTTAGTCTATGCATCTGGTAAAGCTGGGTCCTTCTGGAGAAGGTGCCCAAACTGAACACTCTGGGGGCCACAGGTGATGGATTTAAGCACAGGAACAGCAGAAGGTACAGGTGAAGTAGGTCTCGTGTGTTTATTTGCTTTTCTTTTTCATGTGTTCCTTTTTTAAACACTTACTATTTGATCAGAGGGCACCAGCAGCATTATTAGACAGGTAGAAAACACATTCCTCTCCTAAATTCAATTTACTGAACTGAACTGGTCTTTGAGTGCATTGTAAAATAACCCAGAAAACCAAGTTCTTCAGGAACACCATATGCATTCTGACCTTGCAAAAATGATTTATTTTATTAATCTGTTTTGTGCCTCTATCCCAGAGCCTTGCTCATACTAGGCAAGTGCAGATTCTAATGCTGAGTGGACTCTAGCCCTGTTTCTTCAGTGCCTACCTAAGAGCCTCTGGGCCTCAGCTCCAGAGGGCCTGCTGGAAATCCAGGAGAACTTCTGAATACAACATGGCCAGGCCAACTCCCGAAGTCCCCGCCACCCTGAAGTCCTCGCAAGGGCATCTGCCATCTGACCTCTGTCTCTAGAAAGCTGCGTTTCTCTCTGTTCTTAAAGGCTCCTTTTACCCTTAGAAGAGTCTTTATTAAATTTTACAAACTATACTTTGGGGGAAATGATGCATCAATTCAAAAAATGTGTATTTTAAAATCATCCTCTCTTTCTTTCCTTTCTCCTCTCTCTGTACACATCTATTGATTGCTCATATGAATCTATTAATCTATTTCTTGAGAGAGAGACACTTAGAAAATGTCAGTTCAGACCTCTCATGTAGCTCAGGCCTCAAATACAGAAGTGAACAGTGTCCAGAGCCTCAGTAAAAGGGAGCAGCGTCTGTCCAGAGCCTGTGAGTGGAGCACAGGGCCGGCCAGGGAGATGATGGACCAGATGTCAGCTGCTGCACCCAGCAGCCTTGCTCCCAACCCTGTGCTGGCTTGTGGAGCCACTCTCGAAGGGCCTGTGCCAGGCCCAGGAGTACCCACCTGTGCAAGAGGGCAGGATGTGGTCCCAGGACGGCTTCCCGTCAGCCCCGATCACACAGCTGATGGACGAAGGCTCCATGATCTTGTAGCCAGAGTCGCACTGGTAGGTGACAGTGGAGCCCAGTTTGAAGTCGATGCCAACTCTGGTGCCGTTCATGATGTTCCCAGGGTCAAAGCAAGCTTCCCGCGGCTTCTCTGCACAAGAAATAGGTGAGAGCTCCATGAGAGAGGCTGTGTTTTCCTTCTGCTTTTGGTCTGGTTGTTTATGTAGGGCTCAGCACAGTGCTCTACACAGGAGAAATGCTCAAAACTATTTGATTAGCTGACGATTCAACCTATTGATCAAATAAAAATGGGAAAATTCCTTTTAATAACTACAGTCTTTTTAAAAACGGTGCTTTATTAGAGTTTCGATATTGAATTATTTTCACTCTGATACAAATGGTACAATATTATATTTTATACACTCCCACTTGTTTTGGCTGTAGATTTTAGGACCCATAACTGCTTCAAGAAAAATTGAGGTTCATTTCCTGACTTGTGCATGTCAGTCATACCCACATGGAATCACCATGTGCCTTCAGGAAGAGATAGGAGGATTTGGCTTGGCAAAGGATAATGAATGGTTTAATCTGCGAAGGTTAAGGGAACCTTTTCATAGTGATATGACATGAGATCCGAGACAAGGGCTCAGAAGGGCGTTCTGATCATTTCACTGCTCTGCAAGCTGCAGAGCTGAGCTCAGCAGGAAGTGCACACCTAGGCCTGGGGCGGGCTGCGGGGGAGCTGTGTGCAGGTGCAGCAGTCACTCTAGGGCCTCTCAGTCTCCACGGTAATGCCAAGAGGCTCTAGGGCTCCTCCACTGGGCTGAGTGAGGTGAGGCAGGCCCTGCGCCCCTCTCCTTCCTCTCCAAGCTGGGGTTGGCCCTGTGGATGCCTGGCCCCACTCCGGTTGTCAGAGGAGACATAGCCTCAGTGGCACTGCAACAACTCTTCCCAAATACAGGTGGGAAACAGGCTTCTTCCTGCTCTGGGCTCCCTATCACACCGTCAATTCGTTACCTTTGGGAAGGGTTCATGTTTTCTCATTTTCTACTTTAACAGACCATACAAAATGTCACTAAGTGAGCATACATAACGTTTTGAAAACCGTGTGTGGCAATAGTGCTACTGATTTCAAGTTAGGCTGAAGGATAGCTTCACAGAGGATAAAGACAAAGCCCAGCTCTTTTCCTTTGGATGGGCAGTTGTGTGCCCTGACAAACATTTCTGTGTGCCGAATCCCTTACCCTACATTGCATTGATGTTAAATTTGTACACACAATAACTTTTGGAGCTGTGCCTGGACACGGGCCAGCCTCTGGGGGTGGAGACTGGCAGTGCTCATTCGGGTTTTATTTCTTCCTCCTGACCGCTGACCTATGGTCCACTCAGCCCCCTGGCTCCCTCACTGGCCTTGGAAGGAGGCCCCTTTGGGGACTGTGCTGCACATCTGAGAGAATGGCGGTGCCCCAGTGCCCAGGACGGAGACTGCAAACTAGAAGGGGAAGAGAATAAATAAAACCAGCGTCCCCTGCAAGAGGAACAAGAGACCCGGGAACTGCACTTGTTCGATATTTTCAGTTTTAACAATCGATGAATCGATATCAGCCAGAGACATCTCACTGGCACTCAATCCATCCATCTATTCTAGGAAGTACTGTGTCTAAGCATAATATATAAGCATAGATCCATTAGGAGCACTATTATCCCGAATGGAGCGTGGGCTATGCACGTACTTTGATCAATTATGCAGACATAATCATGGAAACCTTCCTGCTGCCTCTGGTTTGCTCTTGTTGGCCTCAGTGGGACTGTGGTATGGGGGGGGGCTCTGAGAGTCAGACTGAAGCCCATTTGGATGTTTCAAGTGCTAATTGCTGTTTTCATCACTCTTTGCCGCAGCCTTAAGTCCCATGTGGAACACAGAACGTTTACTTTAAGCAAAGAAGGTGCAAACACATCAAGTTGTGGCACTGTTAAAGCCGTTCCCTCGCACTGTTCATCCAGTCCGGAGCAGCCCTGGCCACCAGCGCTGAGTGGTTCCCAGTTTTCTCCCTGCAACCACCTCCAGGCCATGACCTTCTTGTTCACCCTGATCACATTTGTTGGTAACTCTCTTCCTGGGGTGAAATGCCTCTCCTGGAGCTTTCAGCTCATGACTCCAATTCAGAACCTGGCAGCAGGATTTTCTTCCACGGAACCGCATCTCATGTTTTGGTTCCATTTACTGAGTCGTCAGCTCCAGGTGCTTGGTGATAAATCATGGGCCCCTCCTTGCTTGCAATTTGTCCTGTTCCTGAATTACGCGACTTTATAACATGGTGCATTCTCCTGCTGTTCTTGTCTTCTCCAGTTACGGACGTCTCTGTCTACTCTCACAATGGAGGCCACAGACGGGCCACGCCAGACTGCGTGAGCAGCTGCACTGTGGGACTGCCTGGCACCTCTGTTCCTGGGAGCCTGGCAGCTGCTCACTGCTCACATGGATGACTGTAGGGACACCATGCAGGGACACCGTGCAGGGACCACAGTGCAGGGACCACCAATGCAAGAACACTGTGCAGGGGGGAAGCTTCTCTCCCCTGGGACTTTGCCCATGGACTCGATGAGGGGTTTACACATTCAGAGCTGCAGCCCCCCACATGGCTAAGAACCAGAGCATAGACAAGGTAGTGGGGCCCCAGGGCCTGCTAGGAAGTTCACGCCCCCTTCATGCATGATCCAGAATGGCTCCCCTGAGCTACCTAGGAGAGCCAGGTGCTCAGTACACAGAGACTGGCAGCCTACGAGGGGAGGGAGGATCTCTTCTCTGTTTGTCTGCTGGGTTTTGCTTTCTCTTGTAGTTGGCTTTAACAGAATAGCCTGAGGTCTGGTGATATGAGTTTCACTGATTTCCTGTTAATGTAAAATCTATCTGGTGAGGGGTGCAGTCTCTGACCAGCTCCTCCTATTTCTGAAAGAGCATCTTCTGGCAGAGGCACAGGACCCTCCTCTGAGGGGTGAACTGGGATGCTTTCATTGTAGATTTAGAAAAGACCCCAATGTTTACCAATTTCTGAGGCTTGAGAGGAAATAGATTATCTATGTAAAACCATATAGAGAAATACAAATCTATTAGAGAGGTGAAAGAGATTAAATGTATCGTCCATTTTCCTTTACAGCTTTCTTTACACACTGAACTCAAAAGTTGAGATAAATTTTTATCAATTTTTTGAAAAAAAACATTCATTACTGTGAGTTGATATTTTGTTGCATCCCCTTCCCTAATTCTTTATATTACACCTGGTATCTTCATTATTCACAGGATAAATAAATTTGAAAAAGAACTTTGTTTTATGGACTCAAAAGAGAAACATTTGGTCTAGGGTGGTTTCTGTGCTAGGTTTGAGTGTTTTGCTTGGACCTTCATGGCAGAGGCAGCTGACCCTACACCAGGTGAGGAGCCAAGGCACCCCTGCCAGGCCCCAGACTCACAGAGCCCACAGGAGAAGGGGACAGGAGCCCACGGCAATTCCACAGTAAAAATTCAAATTCAGTTATCCTGAAGAAACAAATCAGAGGACATTTAAACAAGTTTTTAAATAATTCTTTAATGCCATCAACTTATTCCTTATGCAAACCATAAATTATCTGTAAATGGCCATGGATTCGTAGAAAACCAAACCTCTATCTCCTTCTCTTTTCACTAAGGTGCACGTGTGTCCTTAGCAACTCTTTTCCTGGGGAGGCGGGCTCTTCCCCTGACAGAGGGAGCAGCAGCAGCCTGCCTGTGCTGCAGAGTTGTGCCGGATCTCACCAGATCTCACCGGGAACCCTCAAAGCCAATTAGCCTGCGCAGGCTCCACCCCTCGTGGTGCCTACCTTTAAATTCAATAGCGAACCCGGACAAGCCCACGGAAGCGTCGCTCCGAAATGCCAGGAAAAGGCTATTCCCGCTGCTCTCGATTCTGTCCGGGGCCTGGGAGCCCTGGAAACTCCCGATGAGCGGGCTATTGGAGTCCTCGCCCTCATAGATGTGCAGGAAGTCGTAGCTGGGCTCCATACTGAAGCTGAAAGGAAAGAACCAAACCGGCGTTAACACCTAATGGCCTCCCGCATCTCCCAGAGGGTCAAGCTTTGGAAAACACAAAATGATTTTGTATGTTTTTTAATAAGACTTTTGATAATGAAGGCAATCAAAAAGTTAAGTAATAATATTGCGTAGCAATAACAGTCATAATAAATACCGTTATTTTGACCATAACATTCAATCTAATACAATTCGGCAGATATGTAAAAGAAAACGAACCATGATAACATAGCTATATTTCTACTCTGTACATTTGAGTGTGATAATGGGGTATACTCTGAAAGAACTAGACTGCAGAGGAATCGATTTCCACTGATATGCTATTTTTATTTGAATATTTTTAGTGTTTAAAAAGGCACCCTTTGTATTACCATGTATTCTTAAAGTCTGTACATATTTGTTGTGTTTGCTTATTTTTTCTTACAATGAATCCGTGAGCTCCCCAGGGTGACCACGCCGGCCAGGTGTCCGAACTCCCTGAGATGAAGATGGTATCAGTCAGGAGGAGGCCCGAGGCCAGCGGGGAGCCGCCTGCACAGTTCCTCCTGCTCTGGAACAAGCGTTCTTTTTAGCCCTGTTCTTTTTGTTGGGAGGATCTGTGCTGCAGCTGACAGGACCAAGACGTTTTGTAATCACAGGAAATGTGCTGTTCCAGGGCTCTGGTCTGTCTTGAAAGCCAAGGCGGGAGAAGGAGAAGGTGTCCCCGGAAACAGGACGGATGAAGGGATGAGGCGTGACCGGTGTCAGGGCTAGCAGGAGCCGGACCGACCTCATGGAATTTTACCACTAGTAATTTTACTTAAAATACTTTCCAAGGATTATCAGAATCGGGTTATGTTCCATCTCCAATATTGATATAGTTAATTATGATTGTAGATTAGATATTGAACACTGAAAATACAACCAGGCACAGGAAAAAATCCCATCTGGTCTCTTTCTAAAATTATAGAAGAGTTCATGCATAGAAGTCTGAAGATAGATCTGCACTTAGTTATGGATTCGCGTGTTAAGTCCTGTTTTATTTGTACCTATGCATAGCTAACATCTGTTCCAAGATTGAGCAATCCTTTGAACCGAATTTAACTGATCCCCTGTGAGCGGTATAGCCCCTTGCCCACAGGAGCAGCGGTCAAAGGTCCCTCTCTCCCCAGACCTGAGCTCCAGAACAGTCCTTGGAGCCCAGGTCCTTCAGTTCCCAGAATCCTTTCCTCCACTGTCAGCATCACTGGCCTCTCCCACGCCCTGACTTGGCCAGGCGTGCGTCCCCAGGGGACCTTGTCCCAGCAGCACCTTCCGGGAGGGACATTTCATCACTTACTCTGCAGACCATGCCCTGATGTCCGCACATAGGGCGCCTTCCCATTTGACTCCTCCCGCAGCCTTCTCCCCACCCAGGATCGGGCTTTCTACCAGGTAGACCCAGACTTTCAATCCCCACAGAGCACACGGAGATGACCCAGATGCGAGAAAAGGTCCAGGACTGTGACCTATGGAACTAGTGGCCCAAGGGGTTTCACAGGCGTTTGTGGGGGTTAAGAGCCTCCCCTGCAGACCTCTCCAGAAAGGGAAACAGTGAGAAGCAGTGCTGGTATGCAGCTGCCTGTGCTCCAGCAGTGGAGCTGCACAGTAGGAATGTGGATGGTCGTTCTGCCAAAGGCAAGGCAGGAAATCCCTATCTTGGATTTCTGTGGTCTCCAGCAGGCCTTTAGGAGCCAGGTGTGTGGGCCGGTTGTAAGAAAGGCTCCTTACTAGACATCAGTATTAACAAACCGCACCGCGCTATCTAGCAACACTGCCCACAGGCACTCGCTGCTTGGGGTTTTGTGCAGCGAGGGCGTTCAGAGCAGCACCACCCTGATAGCCTGCGGCACCGTAGTAAATCCAGGGAAGGCCGTCTCACCAACCTGCGGGGGCAGAGCCATTGACCCTCAAAATCCCACTGCCTCACGTCTCATCTGGAGGACTGAGCAAGGCGGTCACAGGAGCCCTGGATACTGACCCAAATTTCTGGGGAAGGGAACCTGCTGCACCAGAAGACAGACCGGGGCACACAGGCCGGCTGCTCTGAGTCACTCAGAGGTGGACGGAGGAGTCGTCCGCCGGGACGCCTCCCACTCACAGTACGTCCATCCAGCCCCAATCAAAGCGTAACATTGGAAAAGGCTTTGGGATCCCATAAGCACCTAATTACCACCTACTATGCATGAATATGCAATGCATTTTATAAAATAACCCCAGAATTGACCTTGTATCATCTAGTTTAGCAGGATTTTTAAGACAGGTCTAGTAATTCAAAGCTTACAGCAACCAAAATTTGGGAAACTTTCACTCCCAGAGCATCACTGAGTCCCACATACCTCGATGACAGTATTAGTGCTGCCCTTGGATGTCAGAGAACACGGCATCAAATGAATTCACCAATGCACATTTAGGAAAACAGGAGGCAGTGGTGAGAAATTATACGGAGCAAATCTATATCATATTTTCATTACTTTTTGAATGTCCTGTGAGCGAAGCCTTCTCACACGGAACACCTTGTGTGCCAGATCAGAGGCGTGGAGCATGAATGCACATGTGTTTCACGAGTGGAAGGGCCCCAAAGACATAATACATTCCCAGCCAGTCACCTTGCATGGGGGTGGGGCATGCAGGAGACATAGGCCCAGGGCTGGCACGGCACAAAGCCAGGCACTTGGCTTCCAGGCCTGGTGTGGGCAGCAGGCGGGGCACATACCTTCTGAAGATCAAGGCGATGACGAAGTCGGGGTTCACCTTTACTCTCCAGTCGCACTCCTTGCCAGAGGGGTAGGGCTGCGGGTAGTTGGGGGACAGAATGACTCCCGAGGGGCCAGTCAGGTTCCCGCCGCAGGCAGCTGTCACAGAACAAGAGCCACAGGGAGGAGTTAGGGGGAAGCGGTGGCCAGCAGTGGGGAGACGCCAGGGCCTCTAAACGGGCACTCGCAGCCTCTTCCCCAGCAAGGACCTGCATCCGTCCTCAGTCAACCAGAGAGAAGGCCCAGGCCCGGAAAGTGTCGCTTCTGTAGTATAATTATGCATCCCACGTAACACACCATCCCGTTGCAGAGAGGACTTCATGTTCTGGCAAATACGATTTCCTTCTTATAATTTAAATTTTGATCCAACTTAACTGGACTACTTAACTCTCATACCCTCCAACATACACATTAAAAGATACAAAGACACACATACACACACACACACACACACACACACACACATATCCAGGGCTACACAATGATAGAAACTGACCTCTAAAAATATTCTTTGATCAAACTGCTTAAAATATTATCCAAAAGGAACACATTACAAGATGATGATAAATTCAGTGTCTCTGAGGTCATCAGTTGGAACTGGAGGTATCCCCCTTGCACTAGCCTGGCAGTCACTGCACAGCTCACTGTTGCTAAGTGACCGGACACTGTTAGGATTATTTCAGGTACAAGCTCGCCTCTTCCTGAAGTCTCCCATCGCTCAGAAGGGGTTAGAACTCTGTAGATTTATCAGCGCATAATGTGGACACTAGTGTGGACACACTGGCTGCCTTTACCTCCAGCACCCCGACTTGTGGCCAAGCACCCCTAAGCACAGGCCTTGTCTCCCATCAGAGGCCATGTGCACACTTACAAAAGTAAACAAACAAGTGGGGTAAAATCGTCCAATTGGTGATGTTTTTCTGCACACATGCAAAAGATTGTTGTTATGAAAATCAAATGAAAGAATTCACAATCTTCTGTGACAGGTGGTGCTTAAAGGCTCACTATTCCTGAAAAAATCTTTCAAAAGAACAAATACACCCAAATACGATATGTTTGAGATCAACCCTGACCAATGAAAAGTAAATGAGTATCACAAAAATCATTTATAATAAATTCTCACAGCCACATGCCCAAGAGTAACAGGACCTCTTTTCACAATGGAGTGAAACCCCACTTTCCTGGTGTGCAGCTTGGTGAGAGCATGGTCTACCTTGGCCTGGGGGGCTTCCCCTCCCCAGAATCTAGCAGGACTGGGTATAAAACGCTGTCCTATCACCAGGGGACGCTGTAGAGAGGGAAGGTGCCAAAGGTCTGGAAGATTCTACAAAACTCGAGGTAAGAAAGATGAAACATGGCAGACTGGGGTGCCAGCGACAGATCGTCCTTGAAGCCCATGACCTTCAGCCTCGTGTCTTCAGCAGGAAGAGAGTGGGACAGGACTCAGCTACTGATTCAGACAAGACAGGGGACCCTTTCTTACTGGAATGCTCCCGGGAGTCACTTTCAAATGCATCTGTGTAAAAGCTGAAAGTGGCATTTGCTAACTCTGGCCTGGGGGTTCACTCTTTCCACCCGGGCTTCTTCATTTTGCCTTCCTTAAGTTTTATTTAAAAGCTTGCAACATATTTTCCATAGGATCAGAACCTAGTAGAGAATATAACCCAAGACTCTGGGAAGTTCTCCAAAAGGATTGGACCCAGGAATCCACCTCCATGTCAGATTCCAGCGAATGTCCCGGGGCTCCTTGTTCCATGGGGGAGGGAGGACCCTCTGAGGAGGCACAGCAGGCTTCTGCACAGCCCCCTGAAGCTCACCTGGCGCCATCCCTGGGCCCACTGGTGCCTCCCCACAGCCTCTTGGGGTCCCGCAGACTCGGATAAGTGCTCTTCAGAGCTTTGTAGGTCTTGGACTTGGGGAAAAGCGACTGCAGGCCATGTAAGAAAGTGAAACCTGGAGACTCTGGGGCACACAGTACTGGGATTAGAACAGTCAGTTCCCTCTGGTTGGTAGTCGGTCCCATAGGACTCAGCTGAAAACCCAAGCAGAGGATTTCCCTTTCTGGAAGGCCTCGGGAGGACAAAGAAGAAGCAGGAAATGTACACAGAAAGTGAGTCCACCCAGGCCGGGACTGAGAGGAACAGAGCATGCGGAGCAGGGAGGGAAGCAGACACTGACAAGAGGAGGGGAGGACCCTGGGCCCGGTGGCGCAAGCAGCTAACCCAGCACTGTGGAGGCTGATGCAGGATGGTCACAAGTGGGAGCGGAGTCTGGACAATTTAATGAGCCCCTGTTTCACAGTTTTAAAAATAAAAATAAAAATAAAATAAATAAAAACGTGCTGAGAATGTATCTCAGCATGAAGGGCGTGTGCTGATGTGGGTGGGAGGGGTCGATTGGCTGGCCCAGTCTGGAAGAATCGAATAAGAGTGGACAAGGAGCAGTGAAAAAAGTTCAGCTCTGTGATTAACTTAAAATGCCCAAGAAAAATGGAACTCAGCACTTTCTGCTCACAACGAGGCTGCAATTGCCTCCTGTGATGATTCTCTAAGTCAGATAAAATAAACATGCATAGCTGCCAACTACAGGAGCCGATGCAACCGTTTTCTGAGTTTTGCAAAAGGTTAAAGAAGATACCCCAGAGATGCAAGTCTGCAGAACATGTCACTCACTGACAATTACGGGTGCTCTTGTTAAAACAGAGATGTTCATTAGGCTCTTCCCAGAACAGAAAAGAGGCACAAAGGAGCCGTTCCACTGTCAGGGCCAAGGAAGTCAGCCCGGGACATTCCAGGTGCCAGGTCCTGCACAGGGACCTAGGGCTGGGCCGACCTCACTTCCAGGACACTGCCCAGAAATCAGTAGGAAAACAGAGCAACACAAGGAGAAGCCTGCGCTGACATTAGCCAAGCCCACAACCACAATCAAAGTCACAAAGCAGTCACCCAGGGCTCTGTCAGTGTTTTCAAAAACCTTTTTCGATAAATCGTCATATACCAATTTATGAAGTTTATTTATATACAGTTATGTTGATAGTAACTGCTTCTAGCTTTTCTTTAACTCCTTTTTTTTTTTTAGTCTTGTAGATTTACTATAACTCAAAACATCTGCAATGAACATGCATTGTCTGTCAACAAGGGGAAAAGTTAAAAAAATAATTAAAGTATTGTACATACATCTTCACCACACAGATGAAATCAGCATCAATATGTGTTTGGCTGACCTTACGCAGGACATAATCACGTCTCAGTAAAACAAAAGAGCAACGCCGTGAAGAGACGACTTTGCTTATTCCCAGCTCTCTTTTACACAGTATATGGGTGCAGCAGGGCCTCCTGCCCACAGAAGCCATTCTTCACTAGCTGTGAGCACCTACCAGACAGTGCTGTTTGCTGAGAGCGATTTCTTAGTTGCTGGTGGAAATTAGGTGACCCAGAGATGAACTAACAAAGACTAAGGGAGACAGTCAGATTTCGTGACCGTGTCTAAGTAAACATAAAATGATAAGTTACCATTAAGAGACTAATTCCTAGCTGTCTCTTAATCGCCGAGAGATCAGAAAGATGGAAGAAAGCAAGGAGGAGGAGGAGAAGGAGGTGGGGAGGAGGAGGAGGAAGAGCCTTCTCCCACTTCGAAGTGGGCTGCTCTTGGAAGCAGTGGCTGTGCTGTCAGCCAAGTGCTCTGCTGGAAAGGAAGTAGGCAGAGGCCTTGGAGACTGCAGAGCCCTGGAGGGTCTGGGCTGCAGCAGCGACGTTCTGCTGGACTCCACCACGAGGACAGAGCCAAGTGCCACAGTGTACAGGGACCAGGGACGCCCCTCAAGGGCACAGCGCACAAAACACAGCATCGGGTTAGCTCTGCCTTTCCACAGATTAATTAAATCCTACAATTGTCAAACAGATCACAAAGAAGTACTCATTAAATGGTGGTAGTTCATTAAAGTAATAAAGTTTAGAAGAGTATCATTCTGCAATGAAGATGAAATACTTGAAAGAGGCATTCTATGCCCAAGTATTTAATTGAATGAAGAGACAACCTACATGTAATTACCACTTTATATGAATTTCCCTGAAACATATTTGTGATAGACATGGTAGATGACTAGTCAACCAAGGCCTGCAGAGCCTTTGGTACCCTTTTAATATGGCCAAACAATAAATTTTTAATGAATTTCAGAAACAACTTTCTCTCTTTTCCTTCATTTTCACAAGAGAAGTATGATTTCTAGTTTTGGGAACTCTATTTCAAATGTACTAATTTTATGGATAAGACTCATCTAAAAGGAGAAAGTACTTTTTTAGTGAGTAAGTTTTGCTTAAGGCATGTTTCAATAATAAAATGGAGAGGACCAATGGTAAGATTGCAAGTTTTGAGCCACCTGGAATTTTAAATTACAGTGCTTTCCTTGATATATATTTATACAAGAATTTCTAAGGACAAATGTGCTAGATAATTGCCAATTTCTATACCTTAAGTAAACCACTTCCTTTATTTCACCCAATAAAATAAAGTTGAAATATTTACCATTAAATTTCAGTTTGGTGTCAGAGAGCCCCAGGACATATAAGAGACTCCTGAAGTACTCTGAAGTAACAGTATGTTAGTAATTTTAATGCACAGTATATAGCATATTTATTTGCAAATACAAAATTTCCATTTCCTGATGCCTCATACCTATGCACATGGGCGGGTCTGGCTGCCAGAAGAACCGGTTGTTGAGCTGCACACAGGTGACCTTGGCTTGTCCTTGGAGCTGGTACCCCGGGTCACACTGGAAGGTGAGGGTGTCCCCTGGCTCCCGGCTGTCTCCGTAGCGGGTGCCGTTCTGGGGCAGCCCTGGGTCATTGCAAGTGGATGCAACCGAGGCTGTAAAGGACAGAGAATGGCTGGTCAGTCCTGGACAGGCGGGTCTGCCTGGTGGGTGGGGCCCTCCCCCCTCCCAGGCTGAGTACTCGTGGCATCAGCGTGAAGCCTTTGTCTGCATGAACACCTGCAAACCGTGTCTTTTCCCCACGGTACCTCTGACAGATAACATGCATCCTGAATGTGCTTACATTTAACAGATTGTAGCAAAGCATTGAAGACAGAACCAATCATGGAAATGTCACGCACCGCCTGGTGTATTTTCACCTATACAACATTCCCCTCTGACTTGCTGCTGTTCAACAATATTTTAATAAAAACACATGCTCTAGATGACTTAAGTAAGAACACCAATGTCAAGGAAGCCTGAGTTAGATAAAATAGAATTCTTTTGAGGCCCCTGCTCTCAGGCTGACAGATAATGCCTGCTCACGTTCATTCCGGAGTGAAAGCTCTGGCGACTGACAAAGGGCTGTTGCCTCAGAGACGTTACTAACAACCCCTTCATTCCAGTTGGGCCACCCTGATCCTTTTTTCTTTTCACCTTTTCAGCTCTAAATGTCTGATGTTTTATTTTAATGTATCTGTTGACTCTGTAGTACGCAAGGTTTACACTCTGGGGAAGTGGCACGTGTACGTAACACATCTTGATTCCTTTTTCTAAATCCCCCTTTCTCGCCCTCCTCCTCCATCCTCCCATCCCTTCCTTACTCTTTTTTTTTTTTGCCCAGCCTAATCTTAATAAAATATCTAACAATGTTGTACCTGCCTTTTTTGTCAAAAAAAAAGAAAGAAAAGAGAAAGGAAAGAAGGAATGGAGGGAGAGAGAGAGGAAAGGAAGAAGGAAGAAAGAAAAAGGAAGGAAGGAAGGAAGAAGACAAAGGAAGAAAGGGAGGGAGAGAGGAGAAAAGAAAGAAAACGATGGACGGAGGCCGCTCAGGTGTGTGAGGTGCGGGGAAGCGCAGTCTGTCTGGTGCCGAGCTCCGGGACCCTGTCTGAGTGGTGCGACCGCAGGATGCCTCCATAGCCCTGCTCCTGAAGGCTCATTGCCCAGCAGCGCAGACCACCCTGCATCCATTACGCCTCCACGCAGACCCTTAGATCCCGGGTCACACAAACACGGGCTGGATGCTCCTCCAGTTTCGGTAGCTGACGCGCCCGAAGCTTAGGCAAGCTGCACCTGAAGATGCAGAGCTCACAGCGTGTCCCACCTGCTTCATGTTCCGCTAGAAGGCACTCTCTTCCCTTCCACTGCTTCTTGGGCTGTGGCTAAAGTTTTGCTTTCCCTGGGAAGTGACTTAGTGTAGGTGACACTGTGCTACAAGAAAGAGAGAGGAAAAGCCCTGCATTCAGACCCCTCTGTCCAGCGGATGCTGACAGATTTAAAGTTGCCAATGGACTTGGCTTTCTGCTCTGTAAATTCTGGCACATTGTTCTCTCATCTGTCTATCATCTATCCATCCAACTAACAGCCCGTCCACCCACCCACCCACTCACCCTCTCCTGACCCACCATCTATCCCTCTATTTTCCCTCCATCCATCCAACCCACTGTCCATCCGTCCACTCAGGCATCCACCTTCTATCTCCCATCTCTCTAGCTTATCTGTCCACCTCTCTGTCCCTCTATCGTCTACCTGATTTGTTGAATGAAATCACTTCAAATGCAAAGTTAGGATATGAAACACAAAGGAACAAGACCTGGACTTTGGTCAGGAGAGGGGAATTTTTAATCTGAGGAAGCTGTGCTGCATGACGGTTGACAGGAGACTGTGCGGGACCCTGCAGAAGGAGCAAGCACCCAATAGAAAAGGTCCTGGACGCCAGCATCAAGACCCCTGCCATCGGCAGAACTGCTCCAAAGCTCAGGCCAGCTCGTTAGGACTTAATTAGTGCTTCATGATCGCTCCCCTCACAGATCTGCAGCTTCCTGCTCTGTGAGACAGAGTTAGTGTGGGAGCTTAGGCCGTGGGGCGACCATATTATCACGCTAATTCAAGCCTCTGCCCCTCCACTCCTGGCTAAGTGAGGGCAGGCGCTGTTTTAATCACTATTTCTCTCTAATTGGTTTTTGTTCTATACCGAGACTCATGGCTGGCTGTATCTACGACTCCGTGAGACCCATTGAAAGAGCATGGCTCTTTCACCGCCACTGGACAGGAAGAATGTCAAGGCCGTGAGCCCACGAGGTCGTCCATGCAGGTCCAGGCCTCTCTTCGCCCGAGGTGCTCACTCCCTGGGCTCCTGATGCCTCACCCCTGCTTTTCTGGGTAACTGCCACAAACTTATGTCTCCAGTGGTGGCACCGATGTGGCTCCCTGTTGTGTGCTCGAGGGGTACTGGTCTGGAGTCCTGGAGACTGGGCTCCCAGTCGCACTTGCTGTGTCCCTCACTGCCCATCGCTGCTCGGTTTCTGCTGCCCCGGGCCCTTGCTCCATGCTCCTCTTGGGTTGGCGCCCTTAGGCCTGACGCTGGCCGGCCCTGCACCCTTTCCCACCCTACCTGCTTTTGTACTCCTCTGTTTATTTTCTCAGTCTTTGTTCAAAGGAAATTCTCCTGAAAATGTCAGCCTTGGTTAGTTGTAATATTCTTATTTCCCTCTCTACAGCCTTTTTATCGTTCCCCTGTCATATGTGCTGTTGATTTCAAACACTTTAGTTCTTTCTGATGACCTTGAACGAGACGTTGCCACCATCGGTTTCTGCAAACCTTGTAAATTAAACACAATATTATTTTATGCAGTTGGATAAACACTTTAGTTCTTTCTGATGACCTTGAACGAGATGTTGCCACCATCGGTTTCTGCAAACCTTGTAAATTAAACACAATATTATTTTATGCAGTTGGAGTGATTCTTTTTTATATGCGAACATACCAGTGTGCTTACTATTTTTTCTTTTCATTAAAAAAGAAAAAACCCTAGACCTTTCATCTTGCTTGATTTTTCTGTTTCCTAAAGCTTGTGTTTTGGGGACATTACTTTTAGGATCTGTGTTAGCCTGGGTTCCCTTTGCATATCTGTGAACTGGGGGGAAAGCTGCCCGTGGCTATGGGGCCTGTCTGTGCCCACAGTTTATCCACCTCACAGCCTGTACCGAAATCCGAAGCTGCCACTCTGCCCCTCTGCTCCCTCACTCAGGGAGAGAGGGATGTCCTACCGCATTTCCAACCTCAGGGACCTGGGCTTTCCCTGTCTCCTCTCTAAGCCGCAGGACTCTGTAAGGGGAAGCTCAGAGCCCAGGGGGCTGACAGAGGCCACAGGGTGGCACAGCTTCCGTGCCCTGGCACCTGACAGCCAGATGCCCAGAAAGCTGTGGGGAGGCTTGTACAGCTCTGTAACACGTCCCTCAGATGACCTGTGGGCACCCGTGACAGCACTGGAGCTTCAGCCAGCGTCACAGTCGTCAAAGGCTAGACACACCCTTCTTCCTGTCGGCCGCCTGCTCAGCACACAGGCCAGGGTTTGGAGGGAGGGGATTTCGGGCAGAATAAGACTCTCCCATGGTGTCTGGAAGAAAGAGTTCCTGGTCACAGAGAAGGCTCAGGTGAGAGGCTGCATGGGGGTGACAGGAGGACAGGGTCACTGCCCCACACTTCTCGGCCACTGCAGACACCCAAGGGACAGCAGGCCGCAAGCGCAGACCCAGGGCAGCTGGACGGCAAGTCTGCGGGCCGCATGGCATGAAGCTAATGAGGGAGCATCTGTAAGGCCTCGCCCGGGAGACACACAGTTTGCAAAGTGGCGTACTGACCACAGCACAGGTCCCTGTGTCCCACCACCTCAGCCAGCGCCCAGCGCACACGGGGCCTGGGGCTTCCTCTCTGCACGACCTCCCTGGAGAGGCACAGCCCACCTGTGTTCTGAGCCCCTGAAAAATCACCAGCAAACCCTACTTTGTACTCACAATTTCAGAGTCATGACCTCCAAAGGAAATGCACCCTTTTCCTGGCAAACAGTCACATGTGGGATTCAGGTGTTCACTTGTAAGTGTTAACCTCTTCTGCAGTTTATATAGTGTTGAAATAATAAAATATGTACATAGCATTAAAATAATTGCTACTATACAAGAATATTTATAGTGAAAAGATCATAATTTTATTATAACAATTAATACTATCAGTATTAATATAATTTTTTGGTGGTACTGAGGATCAAACCCAGGGCCATGTGACTGAGTCACATCCCCAGCCTATTTTTACTTTTTAGTTTGAGACAGGGTCTTATTAAATTGTCCAGGCTGAGGTTGGACTCCAGATCCACCTGCCTCAGCCTTCTGGAATGCTGGGGTTATAGGTGGGTGCCACCATGCGCATCTTAGCATTAATATAATCTTAAAGTAAAAGTTTAGAAGATAAGCCAAGGAGATCATGCATGAGAGACTCACTATAAGTTTAAAACCAAGACAAATATTCATCACTTCTATTTCCCAAACCTGTATTTCAGATCCACTGAAAGCAAAAATAAGAACTGCTCTGTAATGAGGCCACAAATGTACAGGAATAAGAATCCTACAGGCACGGCAGCCTTGGAGCAGGGTGTGGTACAGAGGTGTTTCTGGGAGCTGCTGGGTCTGCTCAGCTGGGGAGCAGATGCAGAGGCACTCCAGTCCCTTCTGCAGACCCAGAGGCAACCCAGGATGCAAAGTGGAGCCATGTCTGAGACCTGGCTTTATCTCCTTGATCAAGCATGCTCTGAACCTCTGGAGCCTCTGAAAATCCTCCCACGTAAAGACCCTCGGCCCACAAGCTCCTGGCAGGACCTCTCTTACACACTCTGGAAAGTACCTTCACAAGAAACTTCAGACCAAAATCCACCCAGAGTATTTGTGATCATAGTGGTGCTTTGCTTCACAAGCTCAGTTCTCTCCACAATTATGGCCACAAACCAAACGGACGGAAACAGAATCAAATTCCCCCATAAGGTCAGCAGTGAACCCAACCACTGACTTTGATTCGGTTCTTGTCCAATTCAATTCGCAGCCAGAATCATGGAAAGAATCGAGT